TATAATTCAAAACAAGATCGTAGATATCAATGTGATTTATACTGAAGATCTAGTTAATTGGGAGTTATTAATAATTACTTTAAATAAAAGACAGGATTGTTTAGTGTATGTATTTGGTTACAGTCGACAGCAAAGTATAGCCGAATTTAATCATAATGATTTGTTAGATTCAAATTATTTTTCTTTATTTATTTCAGTATGATTAAATTAAATTTCATCTATGTGGTTACCTTGCACTCTATATAGAAAAGCTAATATTTTTAGTAGCATCTTGTACGTATACAACATGATAAGATTTGCTCCAATTCCTCATTAATGAGATGTGAAAAATGGTAATTTCTTTTGTTAGACTTCTCTGAACATAACAAACAATTTTTTATCGTATTTAGACATGACTTCTAGTTAAACTTTACACCTCAGAAGTGGTCATTATTGATTTTTTCAAAGACGGAGATAGAGGTTGGTCCTAATCACGAGCTTCTAAATTTAAAAAAATCTGGTAATCTGTGTGGTAATTTTTAGGACTAAAGTGAGGCACTTTAGTCCTAAGAAGAACAAAAATTCTATAACATATAATTACATAAATTTTTAAAAATATTGTGTTCTGTTAAGAAAGTTCATCATTTATTGCAATATATTACTAAATCTAAAGATATTGAAATAAAGATGCATAGCGTAATTTTAATAGAAAACGTTAAATATAATTAAAGTCTATTTAAATATATAAGGTCAAATTAAACTTTATATCGAAACTTAATTTTAAAGTGAAGATAACGCATAATTAATTGAAACAGAACTTACATCTATTATTTATAATACGATCGTTGCTGAAAGATGAAAAAATATGAGGGAGTACGTTACAAGGCAGTCGCGTTGATGCAATTTATATATCGTTCATGTGTCTAAAAACCTCTGGAATCAAATAGAGGGCAGCCGTACAAATTTAGGTGCAAGCGCGGTAAGGGAGAGGGGGACATTACAAAACTTGGTTTTAACCGGTTAATTCTTACTACCTAAACCGAAATTTGTGAAAACCGGTATTCCGCAAAAACCGGTTTTGGGGTCAATGACCGAAACCGGTTTAGAATTTAAACCGGTTTCCGAGCCCTGGATAATTTAAATGCAGTGCTTAAAAGCTGGCTGACTAAATGGAAAATAGACTCATTATTGCTTGCTCGGCTCGCTCGTTGTGGTCACCCGCTACCGAAAAGCCCTTCAAAAGCTTTTCCACGCTTCGCTCGTTGTCACATTTATACCTTTACACACATTTACCCTACACTTGTTTTTAAAAAAATTGCGAGTGTTTGTTTTATTTAGAAATGAGCCGGTTTTCTATCTATTTGTATCAAAGAGTATTATATTTTCGATAAGTATAGCACTATACTATTTGTACTGTATTAATTGTCTAGACATATTATTCCAGTTGGTCCTTATATTAAATGTAAGTATAGGTTTTGATTTTTAGATAAGATAAATCAAATCTATACATATACCTACATAGATGTCTCAACATCATCTTAACGCATTGGATCGTCTCGTTAACATCTGTATCAGATGTATGTATCTTCTTTTCGCACTCGGCTAAATTGGCTGCTTATTGGTTAACGCGGATGTGTTTAGAATACTTTGTTTTTCAATGACCTTTTTATCACTTTTGAACGATTCATGTGAAAAACATTTATGAAATAAAAATGGTCTGATGATTGTCTTAAATCTAAATAACATCACTTTAATAGATGCTACGTGAAGTCGGGGTGGGTCGCTATTATCAAATAAAATTATACAAACATCATTAAAATTAAAATATGCAAAACGTGTTTCAAACAAATGAGACGCACCCTTACCGTAATGTATGGTAGTGAAAATGAACAACGGGTTCTTACCCCTCTTCTACGGTGCTTAGTCATGTGAGACGATAATTTTGAGAGCGTCGAATACGTAACTCGAGGTTGAAAGTATACTCGTAATTGTTAACCTTAGGATTTTAGAAAAATTATTTGTTGTAATCTTAGCCCTCCTGTTGTAACGAGGAACTGTCTTATAATCATCACGCTTATGCCCGAATACTGAAACGCAACTTAAATCTGTCACTTTATTAAAGGTCCCCTATATTTAAGCATCACTCAAATTTAACTGAAATACAGAAACATCACTCAAGTGATTTGAGGGCTTGATTAGTTGAGCAGCTCTCAAATGTTTACGTCATGGTAACATTCATTTATAAAACTTTGTTCTTCTTGACAATTTTACGATATTTGAATTTAAATACGTTTTATGCAACATTGCAACATCATCTAAAAAGATTTAAATAATTTTATGTTCGATTTGTTTTTATATTATATTCAAAAATAACCTCCTAATAATACTTTCATTTAGAATGTGATTTATGTGTTTTTTTTTAAATATTGTGGATAAAAAGGACATTTCAAAGTATAAAATTTTTGAAAATCGCTCTGTCTGTCGTCCTAGAACGAATCGAGAATCTTACTGTTATGTGCTGTCAGTGTCAGTTTCTTTGATCGCGTCCAGTGATTTTTAAATTTTCGAATTTAAAAATTATTATAAAATTATTGAACATATTTTGCTAGTTTCAATTAAAGGCTAAGTACAAATTATAGTAAAATATGGATGTTAAAAAGAGACGCGGATGCAATTACACAGTGTCGGAGAAAGATACGTTATTAGAATTGATAAAAAAGTAAGTAAATATTTAAATCTTCAAATGAAACAAATTATTTTAACCGAATAGAATGCCCTTTATTTCATTGCGAATTAAATAAAAGTTGTTCACATTGTAACACGTGTTATATATTATTTCAGATATCAACATATTATAGAAAATAAAGAGACGAACGCCCACATTATTTTGAAGAAACGACAAGCTTGGGATTGTGTGCAAGGAATACAACGCTGTATAAATATTTAGTAGTCACGATTTATTGTATTCGTATTATTTCATAATTATTTTGTTTTTAGAGACTACAGTACAATGAAAAAACAAAAGAGGCCCAAAAAGGGCATCAATAGATAAGGTATATATTGCCATATATCTTGAAAATAAGTGATTAAGTACCTATTAAGTAATTAAGTTTTTTTTTTATATAGAAAGAAATAACTTCTACTGGTGGTGGGTCCTATAAATCAGTTCTAACTCAGTAACATGCTCAGATTTTAACAATGGTTGCTCCACAAGTGTAACTACTGCAAAATCCATTTGATGATGCTGCATTTTATTTTGGTTAGTTTGTTTAATCTCTATAATTTAGATCTTTAATAAGAAATAAAATTATTGTTTATCAGGTGACACAGAATTGATTTCTGAGAACATAGAAACTATTTTAACAGTGAATGATTTAAATAAGAATGACAGTGCTAATACTGGTAAATACTATATTACTATATATTTTAGATTCATATTTGATTTTCATACTAATTTTTATTTTTAGATAACCATCAAACACTTTTATCAAATGACTATATTGAGCAGAATAGCAATAAACCTCATACAATAACATCTCATACAAAAGGTATTGACTTAATTTTACTTTTCATCAATTGTGCATTATGGAATAAATTATTAATATATATTATGTGACATTAGTGAGGTCGAGTAATATCTTGATAAAAATTATGTTTTTGCTAATGAATAATGTAAATTATACATATTCATATATGATTTTTTAAACACTGTTTTTTTTGTTAATAAAGTTGTAAATTAACCTTAGATAAACATTTTTCAGCACACCAACATAATGTAACAAAAAGGAAATCATATGAAACCATTAAACAACAATATAAAGCATAAGAAAGAAATGCCAAATTAGAAAATAAATATTTAATAAACAAAAACAAAATGGAGCTAAACAAATATAAATTAGAAATACAAATTTTGAAATTAAATAGGTTACAAGCTTCTAGACAATAAGAATTATATATCATGAATATTTTATTTTATTACTGTAACATATTTAGATTTAAGACTTTGACATTGTATAATTTATCTTTTGTTAGTAAATGTTTCCCGCCCTCAGCCATAATTATAAACTTACTTAAACCTCTTATTATTAAACATAACTTGATTAAATAAATGCATAATTATTTGATTTATAGTATATATACTATTTAAGTTTGTAATTACATTATAAAATAAGATTCAGGATGTAATAAATAATGTAGGTGATTTTAAACTATTTCTGTTTATGAATAATTGTAAACCACATAATGCGGGTCTAAAAGTTGTAACATACTTTTTTGCCTTAAGCAGAAACTCTGTCAATTATATATTAGAGTAAAACAATATCCAATTACCAGTCTCCACAGAAACAGTAATTCATTTATGGGGCAATGTATACGTTTTTACAACAAAATCCCAGAACATACTAACATATTCAAAGTTTGTCAATAAACAAGTTTAAAAGCTTTATTAAAGAAAAACTGTACAAAAAGGGTTATTATAATATCAAGGAATACATGAATGAAAATAACCCCTGGAATAAGGTGATCGCCACCATGCTGGTTCTATGAAAAATCATTTAAAATTGTATAAATGAAATTATTGTTACGTGAAATATGTTTGGAAAAAAAGTCCCACTGTGTTTCTTGCTGTTTCTTCCCAGGACAGAGATATTTTCCAAACCAGTGGTAAATAAAACTTTCAGAAGTATTATGTAATAATCAATATTGAATAAAAAATTATTCTATTTTATTCTATCAGTTTTATTTGAAAATCGACAACCACATTGTCACATTTTACATTATGGGTGATTTCTGGACCTCAACAACGGATCTAATTGAGAATTTAAACCATCCAGGGACTCAAACAAAAAAAAAATCATCCAAATTGGTCCAGCCTTTTAGGAGTTCAGTGATAAACACACAGAAGAATTATATTAAGTTACTGTATTTTCATGAATCTACACTGTGATATAGCAAACTTTTCACTGATTATTGTTTTTAGTATTCGTTATGTTGTAAAGAATTGATTTTAAAATTAAAAAAAATTAACCAGAAAAATATGTATTTACTAACGATGTCCTCACAATAAAGTTTTGATTTGTTTCATTGCTGGGTTGCACCATAATTTCTTCCTCAACAATAGTTAAAGGATCATCCTCTTCAACTACTTCATCCTGCCTTGAAATAGCAATATTGTGGAGTACTGCACATGCCACAATAATAGGTGGAATATTGGTAGTCTTCAGACCTAACCCATAGTGGAGACAGGGAAATCTTCTTTTAAGAACACCAAAGAGCCTTTCTATTGGATTTCTGGTTCTAATTTGTGAACGGTTATATGCTTCTTCAGCTGGTGTCCTTGGATTTAAAATTGGGGTTAACAAATAGGGGCGACATGGATAACCACTATCGCCCAGAAGTACCATAGGGGTAAAATCTCCTCTTTCTAATTGGGCACACAATGGTGAGTCATTAAAAATTGTACTATCATGTACAGAACCTGGCCATCTTGCAATGATATTTCTTATGCGCAATTTCGCATCACATACCATTTGCACATTCAAGGAAAAGTAACCTTTTCTATTTCGGAAACTTTCCGATTGAGCTCCCCCTGCAAAGATTTAATAACAATGAGTGTATGTATATAACATATTAATAATAGATATGATAATGTAGGAGTATAAGTATAGCTCATGATTAGAATATGTAGGTACCTGGAGAATTAATTTTAATGTGCGTACAGTCAATAGCACCCATCACTCTAGGAAATCCAGCAATTGCATAAAAGTCATTTGCTACTTCTAGACGTTCCTCAGCAGTTGGCATATTTATAAAAAGAGATCTCATATTCGCTATTTTTACTGTAACTCTGTGCACGATTCGATGCACAGACGGTTGCTCGATGTGGAATATGTCCCCTATAACTCGTTGATAACTGCCTGTAGCGTAATACCGAAGGGTTATCAATATTTGATCCACGGGCTGCAAAGATCTATTTCTTTTCGTCAATGGTTTTATCGTGCTGCCGAATACAGAATCCAAATACAACACCGTTTCTTTGGAAACGCGGAACCGCGCACGAAATTCTTTATCGTCATATTTTTCGAAAGCGTTAAGCTTGATATCATTTCTTCGACTTCTTAAAGGCGTTTCGTTGTCCGAAAGAGAAGATAACGACGAAACGGACATATTTAAAACTGGAAAAATACTTTTAACAGATTTGAGAGTCCTCGCTACCACACTCAATAATAACGAGTACTTAAATCAATTTGACATTTGATTTGACAGCTAAAACGCATTGAGTGATGTTTCAGTATACCATTTTTTAGTTGAGTAGTGTTTAAGCGCAACTCAATTTGAGACACACTTAAATTTAAGAGATACTTAAAATTTAAATATGAGAATACGAATATAGGGTTTAGGAGTTGCTCAAATGTTTGACAAGCCGTTAAATATTTGAGGGACGTTTCAGTATTCGGGCATTAGCGTAGTAAACGGGTTGACAATTGCAGTATTACACGTCTCGCATCGCACCTTTGGCGCTACTGCCTGTTACTGGTCGGTATTTCGTGTCGGCGTTTTGAAACGCCATAATATATCGGTTTTCCATAGTCGCCTCCTATGACACTCACGGGATGAAATGAGGTGATTGATAGGCATTTTAATTGTTAATACAATATGAAAGTTCGGTATGAGACATAACTGATTTGCCAAGCTATGAAATTTCTTTTTGTTTCTTGCTGATTTTCTGACTGTTAAATATTATTCGGTTTATTTTTAGGATTTTTTTTTAATATTATCATAAATTCAATAACTATAATATATCAAGGAAAGATCAGAATTACACTACTAATTTTGATTGCAAGACAGCCAATATCTTGTTAAAGAAAAGTTACAATATTTAGCCGCTAAGAGGATAGAGCTGAGCAATCAAATAGGCATCCGATGTTGAATGAGCGTACCCTGTTGACAGGAAATTACTTTACCGGCAGCCGGTAGTATAGATTATACAGGTAACGTGATTTTCAATCTTTGTTTTCAATATGGCGGTTACTCGCGGACAGAGCAATGTATAGTGCGAAGGTCGAAGTTAAATATTTTTATTCAAAATTGAGCTTGTGAGTACTTTTACTCTTTGAGAATCAAGAAAGATACGCCACCGCTTGAACAAGTCCCTACTGCAGGAAAACTTGTGAGAAGAAACGATAAGAAACTCGTACGTAGACTATTTTTAACCGACTTCAAAAAGTAGAAGGTTATCAATTCGAGTGATTTTTTTAATCTATGTATGTTACGCAATATCTTCGCAGATTGTGAACCAATTTTGATGATTCTTTTTCTATTAAATAGGTTATACTTCAAGGGTGTGGTCCCTTATAAAATTTAAGAAAAAATTTTTACCCCTCAGGGTAGCAAATAAATAGTCGGCTTTTACTTTTTGTTAAGAGTTATAGTTACAATTATTATTCTAATAGTTACACGTTAATTTATTTCTTTCCTTATTAAAATACTTTTTAGAAGCGCCTTTGCCTTGCATAAAGTGTGTAATAATAATAATACCAATTTGCCTCTAATAAAGCAAAGGCAAATCGGTAAAATTACAGGGAATCTTGTTGTAAATAGTTATAAATGTATCTAATAATTAAAAATTAAAAATTTTGTACAGCCGACTTCAATAATTTATTTATTAAGAATAACTCAAAAACTATTGGCTTGACCTTGATCAAATTCATGTGAGACCACACGAGAACTACTAGCTTTCAAATAAAAAAAGAATTATCGAGATCGGTCCACACTGTAAAAAGTTATGAGGTAACACACATAAAAAAAATACAGTCGAATTGAGTACCGTCTCCTTTTCGGAAGTCTGCAAAAAATGGGCCGCCACGCCATTGTTATGATGTCTGTACTTTTTTTATATATACTGCAAATTTATATAAATGTTTAATATAAATTTAGCAAGGTATATTAAAATAGTTTCTTACATTAATAACATTATAACAAAAACATAACAAAAAATATACGCGTCGAATTGAGTACCGTCTCCTTTATGGAAGTCGGCAGAAAACTACCTGTGATGCTACACGTAAGATATTTATTTCTATAAAAAGATCTCTTAGTGAGACCACTGGTCTAATGTTATCAATTTTGAAACGGTGATAGATTAAAAAAAATACGTAATTGCTACACGAAAGTTTAAAAAACTCTCATTGAATAAAACTATGTTTACGGATTTTATCGCACCTTGGATTTTATCAAATCTCATTTCCAATATTCGGTAACGCTATCTTAGCCATCTTTTGTATTGATAAAAAAAGTTCTCATCTCTGTAGTCTATTCTATTCAAATTTTTTTTTATTAAGCTACACACATTCACATGATTTATATACAAGATGAATACTAAAACTCTGTTTAATTTAATTCACATGAATTTTAAAAATAATCACATACTAACATCGGATTTGCTTTGAATAGAACTCCTTCAACAAAAATCACAATGGAGTTACCTGCTACCTACTATTTTATACTATGGAACAAAAGTTCAAGTTGAGACGCAGCACTGACTTCACAATAATAATGCTTGCCAACCGCGTCCTCATTTCTCCCAAAACTCTGTCCTCTTTTCTAAAAAACGTCAAACGAATTAAACCTCGCTATGATTTCAGGAAATAAAATTAAAAATTTCTCTACTATTCAATTTGAAAATATAATTTATGTAACCTTTTACCGAGCACAAAGTCCACCTAATGGTAAGTGGTTGCTGTGACACATAGACATCCACATCTATCCTCAATAAAGAATCAAAATGCAGATGCGTTGTCACTCGTGAGGACTAAGATGGAATGCCTCATTTCCAGTAAAAAGGGTATCCGGTTCTCTACACTCACTATAAGAAACACAGCAGCGTTAAGCTGCTATTTAACGCTGGTATTCTGTGAGAGCGTGGTCCTTCCCCGGTCGAGCCGACCCATTCGTGCTACAACTATACTATTAATATAGCTGCAACATGGCTCTACCACGTACAAACGTACCTTATATTAAAACTAGCAAACCACTTGCAAAAATCAAAATTGTTTCATAACTGCTAGCTATATAAAGATATATAATCTCCATCCAGTAGTTATCCCAGTTTTAGTTTAATCCGTATATTATGTATCTTATATTTTCTTATAGTATATATTTGTGTTATGTTATGTATATAAATAAAAATCACACCCGTCAAAGTGGTATTAGAGGTGGTGAAGTAATGATAATGAGCAAATGGCCGCAGAGCAACACCTTTCTGTATGAAATATCTTACGTTTCATTTATCTATCGAATTGATGGTTTAGTGGCGGCGTATGAATAGCCACTAACCCCATAGCGACCCGTGGGTGTCTTAAGTGGCGAAACAGGGAATCATATTGTGCTTGGCAGCAGCGTCTTCCTTATAACATCCAAAAACCAAGTTTCCAATCGTGACGACTATGGCAAACATCCCCGAAGGGTTCTCGAGTGGAGCGGCATCTTACCAACAAGCGAAGTGTAGGGCGGATCCCCACTAGACCAGATCCGCCGTTGGGGTTGGGAAAGCGGGTACTACTAAGCGCTCGATTTTCCTGGCCCCATGGCCTCCGCGTATCGGACTCGGGGGTTCCGATATGCAGATGAAGTTGGAGACCGTGGAAGGGTGTGTGTCTGGTATTCCTGGTGCACCTTGCCTGAGAAGGAGAATGGGGAGGAGAGATCCTCCCTCCAGAAGGGGCTGCCATGGGGCGGCCGGCGCTGGTGGAACCGCGGATGTGTGAAAGCGTTCCCGTGGCTCTGCCAATATGCGGCGAAGGTGGAACACCTTGGGGTTTTAGTCGGTGCGAGTCCGATATAACCCGTCCTTGCCCCCGCAAGGCGGGTATGCGTAGGCATTCCCCCATGTAAAAAAAAGGGCGGCCCCCACTAGACGGAGTGATGGCCTGGTAAGAGATCCATCGAGGATGCAGGTGGCTGAGGGCTACTTCTTTGTGATATTCCGTGGAGGAGGGCTATGTTCATCATTGGCCCATGGACTTGTGATGGGTAATGATGGATTGTAATGATGATGATAATATCTATCAAATAATACATAATCTGCCGTGCTTTAACATTAATAAATAATATACTTTTTTTGTTTCGCTGTTAATTAGACACGTGGTAGAGCCACGCTGCAGCTATATTATGGCTGTAGCATGAATGGGTTGGCTCAACCGGGGTATGACCACGCTCTTAGCGAATTCCAGCGTAAAATAGCAGCTTGGTGCTGCTGTATTTATTATAGTAAGTGTAGAGAACCGGAGACCCTTTTTGCTGGAACCGAGGCCAACGATCTTAGTCCTCATGGGTTACAACGCATCTGTATTTTGATTCTTAATTGAGGATAAATGTAGATGTTTATGAGCCACAGCATCCGCTTACCATCAGATGGACTGTGTGCTCGTTTTTCAACCTTATTTTATTAAAAAAAACATACTAAACAAAAAGTTCAAACGCGAATTAAATATGAATATTTTAATAAACTGTAAATTACGAGTATACGTCAACGTAGTAAAAATGATACAATGCAAAATCAGTTCACGCTACAGTTAGCACTAATTGGATTCGTTGCACCGGAAACAAAAATCGGAATGTGAACACTCCATGAGTTGATGCGGGCACCTACGAAAACGCATAACAATACACAGCTATCTACTATTTGAATTTTTAACGTATTTTAACTAGATGTATAAAGTTGAAAAATTATTCAAAAGAAATCCTTCCGAAATAAGCTATTCAAAAAGTTGAATTGTAATTTTCGTTCAACATCGAAGCAACAAAAAATATACAGTTATTCTGTTTTAATCAGTAGGTACTGGAGAAATTCACAGAATTCGTTCGTGGGTTTTATATGTAGGAAGAACATTATTTTTTTCTTGTAAACCTTCTCTACATAATATAATATGAAAATTTTGCCGTGGAAAGAAAGACTTCGGTTCGTTTTGCTTGTGGCGCGATGACAGCGCTGCGCCGTTACAAAAGCAATGGAACGAATAATTTTTAACGTGGTTGCTCCACGTATAGGTCCCACTGCTGGGCTCTCATTTCTGAGAGAGTTTTTTTTAGCGCAAGGAAATGTACGCCGTGCTGCCCTAATGCGGTTAGAGAACTTCACATGCCTTCGAAATAAATTTTTTTCTTAT